GTCCTTCCGAAGTCCCACCATTGAACAGACGTTTTCGGCGTTTAACTAAATCAAATCGATATCGAATTTAGATGTCAACGCGGCCCAGAAGAAGTTTCTGGTGAAAGTTGGTGGGGTTCTCTGGGTTTCAATTTCACATGAACTCGCCGGCGACCTCAAAGTTGTCAATGTTATGTGAAACTGAAACAGTGACAAGAACGAGGTTGGTGGGGAAACGTGAACCGAAGCTGAAGGCAAAAGGCCAAAGGAAAAGTTCTCCTTATGGCAGCGGTTTCAGGTTCTGGCACGGCTTCAACTTTGGATTGGGTCTTGGGTGCCCGTTGCTGGAAATTTTATCTGCCTGTGCGTATGACCGCAGGACTAAAAGCCACAGGTTATGAGTGTCTCACTATATCATATTGGACGGTGTCCTTTACGGTTTAGTGCCACTTTTGTTTCTGGCAGGCCACCAATCCCTAATTACATAAATAAGATTTCAGTTTATTGTCCTCTGGCTTTGATTAACTCAATTTTAGCCAGGACATTCCATTATAAATTAGCAAAAGCCGACTATTTGACAACACAATCATTCCGGCCAAATGGTTTTAATCTGGCTTTCGAACGGTTGCTAGGGCTTTGGTTTTTAGAGCCCGCTTCGAAAAAGAAAAAAATTAAAAAATAATATCCCTTTTTCCGGATGCTCCTAGACAAAACGCCGATTCCCGACTATTTCTGACGATTTCGGCGATTTCGTTGATTACATTGTGGATCTCGGTTGCGTCCCCCAATGGAGCCATTCTGGCTCACTGGAGAGTCGGAACGGGGCATGGAGAGGAGAGGAGATCGGTGGCTGCCGTGCATGTGCGTGCCTAATGAACAAAATTCGACGGGGCTGCAGCGGCTGCCATGTGCATGACCAGAAAATTGAACTCAGGCCAAAAACTGAGGGACGACAAATGACCGGCGGGGCCACCGAGGAGCTGACCACTCACACTGGCGGGGGGAGGTGCATGGGGCAATGGGGCATGAGGCAGGGGAAAATGCCCAGTGCGTGGCTTTGCGGCGCTGTCACTTCTAATGACCGAAAACGGTCAGGAACAAAAACACAGTCACCGGAAAAGGAGCAACTGCAAACGCCGTTAATTTTGTTTATTTCTCTTGGCTTTTATCGGGACGAGGATGCGGATGCACATCCTTTGCCCGTGGGGCCGTGTAGCCGAGGACTAATAGCACTTGATAACGCGGAATACGTGAGAATTGCAATATCGTCGAATCGGAAAATCAAACAGGCATTCCAATAAAATCTAGATTCAGGTCAAGCTAACTAATGACAAGTTTTCTAATAAATATTAATCCTTCTAAAATAACTCTTTGGCTTTGTTTTTTTTGCAGGTCTCCGTTTACAGGATGTACTAGTCTGCCTGCCAGTTCACCAGCGTTGTAAATCGAGTCCAGGAATCGTATGTAAAGCATTCGGTCGAGTGATACGCTCCATAAATTCGGGGATTTATAGCGGAAGTGCAGAATGTGAAAACAGTTACTTCTTCAGATGTTGGCAGTATAAAGCCGGCAAAAAGAGAGTTTCCCGAGAGGCTGAAAAAGGTGTGGCGCCTCGAGACCTGCATCCTCGAGTGCAACGCTGCCTGACGATTTGATAAATGCGGTTAATTTCAGCAGCTGGGAGGCCATTATGCAAATGCCGGAGACTCCTGGACGAGTCTGGCAGAGCCTGGATGCATCCTGCCTGGTGAATATTTCATAAAAATCAACCTAATGGCTCAAAAAAAAAACTCATAAATGCACAAAAACCCGATCAAAGGATAAAAAACGTAGGCCTGGCCAATATTAAATTGCATTAATCAATAAATAATATTAAGTTCTGATAGAAGTAACCGCACGGGCTAACGAGGAAAAAGTATCTTTATTTGTTTGCCGCGTTTGCTTATGGCGCTTATTTATGGCGCATTTTTATAATGAATGTTTAATTTATGAAAATATATTCTTAATTATTTGAAATAAATGCTTTATTTTCCAGCTCTGTCATTGTGTAAATGAATATGGTTTTTTGCTACCAATACTGGGAGTGGAGGATGGAAGTCCCATCCTGCGTTCAGATTACTCCACTCGAGCACGAATCAAAGTGGTTCTCTGATGGATTTTTACAATATTCCTTGCCTCTGACATCTGCAGACATAGTGGCCCCAAAAATTATGCTACACAAATGCCAGGGTGTTGCAGCATCCCAGCAGCTGCGGTTTGCTGCACATCGTCTCGGTTGAGTGCATCAAACATCAATCAACTCAATGGCACTTCAAACCGCTCAAGATGCATACAAATACCGAGATGGCTGCGCACAGAAACATGCCAGTCAACTCGAGGACATTCTGCCATAATTCATGTACCATATTCGGTATATAGGAGATGCCCAATAAGATAAGAAACATCTTCAAGTCCAACAAAAGCCTCAATTGATTAGGCATAACTGCAAGCAAAAGATAGGCCACTCTGAAGCCTAACCAACGAGGCGTTGCACTTCGAGACGGGACCCACTTGAGCCAGATTTTATTGTCTCCCGGGCGAGAGGCAATAATAAATTTTGGCGCGAAGGCAGCCCAATAAATTTCTGCCTTTTTCTCATAAACCGAACCGCAAATCTCAGCCGGACTAGCACTTGCCGGAGAACAACCACAAGGCTCGTCGGGAGCGCCCTAACAACAATTTGTAAATGAAATTGTGGCGCAAATTAAGCGTATAAATAAGCCACGAACAGGCCCCCACGCACGTGTCCTGGGAGAGGGATAGACTCTGGGGTAGTCCCTCTTCCAGGACCTTACTCGACAAGGTCTCGCTCATCATCATCGGCATTGTTGCCATGGCATTTTAATAGTCGCCCCGCCCCAGCCAGAACTCGGAACTTTGGCAATTGATGTGGAGGCCATCCAGGGTCTTTCCGAATGGGCCCCGGGGTAGACTTGCAGAAAATACATAAAATATCCAACTTCAAAAGCAGAATCAAGAAATTCAAACTATCTGCTCCAAGAAATTTCTTCGACTGAGTAGTGGAGTGGCCGGCACAATAATTGTTTAGAGAGTTCTGAGGTGCGACCCATATTTTCTCTTACTGTTTCCGAGATGGGAAAAGTTCGTAGTGCCTGCCGCCTGCCGTTATAAATTTATTATGAAAATCTAAACGACTTAAGTGGAATAATATGGGATAAATTATTAAAATTTATGTGCTTCCGAAGCGGCAGCCGTTCAAGGATGTCGTCTAGCCGGCCCACCATCCATTGGAGCGATTTGAAAGGCTGCCAAAGTTTTTAGGCGTACTTTCTTTAATTTCTTTTCCCCAAAGCCGCTTCTGCGACAAAAAGATGAGACTAAGCACCAGGAGCTAAGACTCCGCAGGACGCGGAAGTTGAGTGATTAAGTGTGCCGCCTTTTGCACTTATGCTTTTTGTCAGCCTAATTTTAAAGGGATACTCGGCTTTTACTCGGCCCGGATGGCGGAGGATAACTCGTAAAAGTTGACTCGTAAGTAGCAACTTTTAATTAAAGTCGATTCGAGGGATTTAGTGTCACATTTGGAGTGCTGCTACAAGGATTTTTATGTCGCCAGCCGAAGAGCGGAGGTCTGCAATCCAGACTGTCAACTGTGTGTCTGGCTATTAAAATTTTCGATTCGTTTTATTGAAATTAATCGAATAATGGCCAGATGGCGGGCAAACCAATGCCGGCAAAAACAAAAGACACCGGGTGGGGCGGGAATTCTGGATTGCGACTCCGTGGATTTTATGGCGTACTTGTTTCGCGTTAATCGCAAATCGTAAAGCAAACATTTTTACGGCACCTGCGGTAATGGATTACTAAAGCTGGGTTTTCTAAACGGATAGAGGACTCATCGGGGATCCAGAGCGCTGCAGGAACAAAGTCATACGCACCTCGCAATCGACATGGCTTGAAAATTAATAAAGTTAAGTGTCGGGCACAATAAAAATGTAATTTCTGCCGGGCTCGAGGCGATTTAACTTTCTCACTTATGTGTGTGGGATATACGGCCGTTGCAGGTGGTTGTGGGGGTGAGTGGGGGGGCCGTTGCAGGTGGTTGTGGGGGTGAGTGGGGGGCAGTTGCACCGGCAAGTTGACGAGGCGTGAAAAGCTAACCTGGTGGTGAAACACAATGGAGACCGGGCTCCGGGTCCCGATGAAGACGAAGGCCCATTAGACCGCCTTGGTTATGACTTTGGCTGGCAATAATAGCAAAAGTGCAAAAAGTGCATTTTATTTCTGTTTCTCAGCGTCAAGTTTAAAGCCCCCACACGAAAATCAGTGCATTGAACCCTACACTTCCCCAATTTTAAAATCCCCTTAAAAGGTTTCTTTAATTTGGATAAACTGAGTCTAAATTTATTTGCATATAAGGATAAGTAAACTTTTTATAAATTTATGATTCAATAATTTTTGTAACAATAGGAAAAATATAAAAATAAAAATACATAAAAACTTTACTTATTGTTTTAAAATGATCTCTGCTGTTTTTAAATTCTTAAACTTTAATATTTCCGTTAGTAAAATTTAGCTTATGACAATTAACATAAGCAAAAATAAAACAAATGCATAAAAAAATAAGATATATTATAGAAAATCGTAATAAATCGTTACATTTTGAAAATCTATATATATTTTTTTGGTCTGATTGGCAACACTTCCATACTATCACTTTTCAACACTTAAATTCTTATCAGAGATGTCCTGTAGAAACACTGGTAAAAGCTTTTTTTGATTAAACTTTCGAAATTTATAAGCAAAACACCTGCGAAAATAAAACCTCTTTCCTTAAAGTCAGGCCTTAGAATCCTTTAACTTGTCCCTAATCCTTAAAATGTGTTTCCCCAAATCCAAAACAGACTGGCGCCTATCCGCCAAGACCCACCCAGTACCCACCACTCTTGAAAATTAATAGGCTTTTCTTCATTCGATGGCTATCAATACCACAACCGATAGGAAGGATATTTTCTGACATTAATAAGTATTTTTTATTGAGATCCTAACCCTTTCAAGCTCAGATCCGCAGGTAGTGGTAGCCACTTTCAGGCGACCACTTTCTGACGTTCGTCAGCGGCTTGAAAAGCTTTCGCTTGGCGATGAAGATTTCGGAGCTGGCCCCGCAGCCAGTACCGCCATTCGTGGTTGACGAAGGAGAGTCCCCAGGCTGTGAGACACTGAGAGTCTTCGGCTTAAGCAGCACTGGCCGGCAGCCGGCGAACTTAAACCGAATGTTTCCGGCGCAGTTGTGTTGGAGATTGGGCTGCTGCAGCTCCGGAAAGGCTTCCCGCAGAGTGGGTTTTGGCTTTAGGGCCTTGCTTGGGTCGTCACCGTGGCACATGGCCGCGGCCAAGGTGCTCCACTCCAAGCGACGCACTCCAGGCACGGGTTCCACTCTGTAAGCTGGAGCTCCTGTGCTCTCATACCGTTTGGTGATCATATTTTCATAGCTCCCTGGAAAGCAAAAATCATTACTTTTTTCTTGGATAAATGACTAATTTAGACTTACGTGCATAATGAACCATAAAAGGCTGTAACGCTGCTCCGCAGCCGTACTCCAGCCACTCGTACAGGTAGATATCATCCTTGCCTCCAAGGAATATGGCAGCCTGCGCCAGATCCTGCCACATGCACTCCGGAATCGTATCCGCTTGCAATTTATATATGTAGGGAATGAATTCTCGAAAGGCATACTCTCCCAGAGCAATCAGTCCACGCACTGCCCTTCTCACGTACTTCAAGTCTGAACGGGAATCTTTCGTAAAAGAGACACTAAAAAGAGTAGAAGGGCTCAACTCACCCCGCTCACTACAAGAATCGCGTGTCTCAAAGTACCTGGCCAGACGCCTCGTGATTAGGAATAGGCACTCGGAGTGGAAGTAACCACTCTGCGACGCCAACTGTCCAATGGTATCGCACAGATCCTCTACATAACCAGTTCCCACGGGACTGGCAAAGAAGCTGGACATACGCTGAAGCTCTGGGTCCGGAGCTTCCTCCTCGTCCTCGGTCTGCAGCTTGTAGATGGTGTGCTCCTGACTGTTCTCGCTGGCAAACATTGGCTGATCTTGCGCCTGTTCCTGCTTGTCTACCTCCATCATTGGTTCCTCCTGATTTGAGAACTGCTCTGGCTCGAGCTTAAGCTGTTCATCGTACTCCATTTTCACGGTGATGGAACCAGGATCTGTGCCCAGCCCCTCACTGGCTTCTGGAGGAGACTTGATGGTCTCGTAGGGGGCTAATAGCTGACATACAAGCACCTCCGCCAGGTGAAAGTACTCGGGCCGACAGGAGATTTGATTCACATGCGAGTTGTAGTTACAGGCGCGCAGGAGTCGCCAGCACCGTTGACTCAACTGATCCTGCTGCTTGAAGGCCAGCAGATTGATAACCTTAGTTACTATAACGCGGTAGATGGAACCCATCAAGGGTGTCTGGAAGGCGTGACACACAGCCTCCCTCTGGGATTTGCTATCCGCAAACACAGCAGCTGGAAGTAAAGCCGCTTGAGTAAGATGCTTAGCTTAATACATTAGGATCTCAGCTCACCCGTCACCAGATTCTGTACCACCTGCTTCAATTGCTCCAAGTGCTTGTCTTCCACTGGACAGAAGCTGTGGAAGTCCGCGTCTCCAGGCACTGTGAGAGTGATTTCTGTCTGGAACTCTTCGCGCAGCTCAAAGATCTTGTCCGAGTGAAAGTAGTAGCTGCCGTCGTAGTCGATACGGTCCCAGTCACTGTCCATGGCCCCTAGCATAGGTGGAACATCCGCATCTTTGAGCACTTCGTTGACTAGGTCGTAGGTGACCACCCCGCCTGAATGGCGTGAATAGGTTTTTACGTTCTGTGGTAAAGTATAGGCATTATAAAGCTGATTTCATTGTTAATCATAGTTCTTACGTTGATCAACTCCCAGACTTTGTAGGTGGCATCCTCTGCCAGGCGAGCGCACACGTCCTGTGGCAGTTCTACGTCCGTTTGATCGTGCTGTTCCCAGAAAATCTTAATACTCCGCGGGTCAAACCCTGCATAGCTTTTTTGGTTGATCTAAAAGCATTGTTCTCTTTATAAGGCATCTGTCCGAATTTATAGTTCTTACCACTCGACTGCTATTACTGCAAGCCTCTCCCGACGCACCACCTACTGCTCCATGTCCGCTACTCGCCACTTGGAACGAAGCATCGAACATGTTGTAGTTGCCAAAACTTGAGGTGGGCGTCGTGGGTGTTGTGACCATGTTGAGGTGTGAAGGAGTAGCCGGCAGGCTGCCCACGGCCACGCCCCCGCCCAGTGCAGAAGTGGAAGCTGTGGCCGCCGTTGAGGCTGATGCTGCTGCTGACGCCGCGTTCTTGTTTGCCAGTTCCAACTTGGTCGACTTGGAGCGTGACTTGGTGGACTTTTTGCCGGCGCCAGGGGTTTTCATTGTTTCATCGAATCTGCTTGCGATTTGTTAACAAAACAATACATTTAACCGGTAAACAAAACTTGTATGTGAACTTCAGTGTTGCAAAATGCTATCGGTTTAACAATTTTCTTTTGATAAGTCGATAAGTGTTGCATATTCGATATCTTCTAATAGTTGGCGGTTAATCTTAATTTTAAAAATTTTCGAAGCTCTTATTCTTAAACTCATTAAAAAAATATTTTATAATACCTTAGCAAAAGTTATCTCAAAATAAAACACATTACAAGTTTCCTATGTTTAAATCATTTCCCTTTTGATAAGAGAATTCCCCGTTGTCCAACACTGGCAGTCAACTGTTGCCTTTTATTTACATTTATGAATTAAAAACAGAATAACAAAGTGAAAGGATGGCAGAAGCCGCCAACGTGCGTCAAAACCTGCAAAATGTACCCTCGATATTCGAGGTTTCGGCTGCGGAAACTCTGGATAATCTGATTTATCCGGCGCTGAGCAAGATCTTCGACTACTTCGGTTTGCGGCTGGACTTTAAACTTTGGGGAAGTCTACGGGTCCAAGAGGAGATATCTCCGCTGCTCACATGGCTTCTGCAGTACCTGTACCTGAGGAAACGGGCCTCATCCTTTGGGGAGAGCTTCTACGGACTGCAGCGCACAGCAACAGAAACGGGGGAGTTGCTCACTCGACGACAGCAGTTTCTGTCCGCCACTATCCTGACGCTCCTTCCGTATTTGGAACGCAAGCTGAGGACTAGGAGTGCGCGGCACGAGGACACAAACAAATGGGAGGGCCGTCTCCTTAGTGCCTTTCACGCTTTTCACGCCGCCAAGGCGATGCACACATTCCTTTACCTTATTAAGTACGCCTCCAGCCACTCGCCCATTTTTCGAGCCCTTCGTCTCACGCTCCGATACCCGAGCGAGCCACCACGAGACGACCAGTGGACGTACCTCGTGCTCAAGATGCTCGAGGTCCTGGCCTTCTTCCTGCAGTTCATCCAGTGGTGGTACTCCAACGACCAGAGGCGGAAGGTCGGCGGATCCCTCATTAATCCAGAAGCCATGCCGAAGAAGGAACTGCCCGACGAGGTCCAGCAGACGATGCCCAAGCGCGGCGAGTGTCCCGTCTGCCTTCTGCCCATGCAAACGCCCACTGCCTGCTCCGTTTCGGGCTATGTTTTCTGCTGGAAGTGCATCGTAAGCCACATGAAGGAGCACGGCAGCTGCCCAGTTACCCACTACCCCATCACCCTGGAGGATCTAGTCCGGATTTATGAGACATAGTTTTAAGTAAAATTGTTTTAAGTTCTTGTTTTTTCATTTGGTATTTTTCAAATAAATGTGATACAAACGATAGAGGCCTATAGGTCACTGATGTAGAAGCCCTGACGCTTGTCGTATAGGATGACGACGTGGTAGTAGTCCCAGTAGGCAGTCCAGAAGTTCAGACACAGGCATTCAAATGAAACGAACTCTCCCAGAGCAAAGAGTGAGTAGGCTACGGGGGAAGATAAGGAAATGCATGCAACAGAATTGGAACAAACTCCAAACTTACCCAGGGGCAGGCAGAACTGGTGGTGGAGGACATACCAAATCCACATGGTGGTCGCTGCCAAGAAATACACAAAAACCAGGCGACTCTTCAACCAAAGCGAAAACTTCTCCCGCCTACTCTCGCACCGCAGATAGTACTTGGCGCACACGAAGCTACCGGCCATGTAGATGGCTGCAGAGGTGAACATGGAGATTGCGGTGACGACGTGGAGGAAAGAGTCCCCATCGACTGTGGCGAAGCTGCCCCACAGGACCAGGCTGCAGCTGCCCTGGATGAGGCTGAAGGTGACCAGGCAGCCGAAGCTCCGGGCATGCCGGGGAAGAGCCCTACTGTATAATCGGAACTGCAGACAGGCCGACGCCAGCAAGATAGGAAACTGCGTCCAGCAAGCCATGGTCCAAACCTCATGCTGGGACCTGGCCGCGGCGGAGGAGCTGGGAAGTACGTTGAGGACTTGGCAGGAGGTGTAGGTACTGGCCTCGAAGTCGGTCAGAATCGCCATAACGAGGACGTAGACAACGGAAATGGGAACAGGCAGGAGGCCCAATCCCAAGACACGTCTTATATAAATGGTGAGACGCCGCTTCGGTTGCAGATCGGCCAAGGAGCTAGGCAGCAGCTTCACTGGATCATTTTTTAGGTGCCTCATTGTCCAGATTAACTTTTTTCTTTGTTCCTTTTAGGAAACTTCTAAATGTCAGCTCTCGCCTGCTGTGTGCAGGTCCTAGTAGCCAGACTGCCAGGTCCTTCAATAAAACTGATTATTCACTTTTCTCACTAAAAGTATATTGGAGCCGATGGCAAATTTCAAATCGCAATTGTATAAAATTTAAATGTTTTATATTTAAAGCCTTCTTAAATAAAAGCATGTGTATAAATAATGCACTAAAATCGTGATGGAAAGCGGCCCGTCTCAAAGAGGATGCCTCATTGCAAGCTGGAACAAATTCATAGACTGACGTTGGAAATAGAATCAAGTGGGAGCCATTTCAAGGCCTTATCGAGCCAAAAAAGCGTGTGGAGCCGGTCTCCCTACCGTGTCGGCACTAAATTCCTTTGGTAAAATTAAGTAAACTTTGAGCTTAAGCTAATACCGCGTATGTACAGAGTACCCGAGGGTCGCACTAGGGACGACTGGCTGGAAAGGTGGAGGATGTGGAGGATCTACAGCTGCGACAAGTAGAGTCCGTGCTTAGCGTCGCACACCACGTTGAGGGCGTAGAAGTCCCAGTACGAGGTCATGTGGAAACCCATATTGGTCAGCACCACGACGTACTCAAACAGCGCGAAGAAGGTATACACTGAACGAAAAGAAGGAAGTTTTAAACGACAGCAGTGAAGGTAAGGAGTGAAAACCAAGATCTTCCAAACTTAAATTTTAAACTCCTGGCCCACAAATGTTCAACAAACTCACCCCCAGCCTCGCAGTAGTTGTTGTGCCGGACGAAGCAATATCCTGCCAGTCCAAAGGCCAGCACATTGACCAGAAACAGATTCCTCTTGTACCGCAGGGACTTCTCCTCGTGGGGCAGCAGAACCGCCTTGCGAGCATTCCGGTTGAGGAGGTACGAGATCAGCATGTAGCACTCGGAGCAGGCAATGAACACCACGAATGCGTTCCGGTGAGTCTCATAGTGGTCCGCTGACGTCCAGAAGGAGAGGCAGAAGAGCGCCAGGTCCTCCACGACGTTCAGGAAGCAGGCCAGGATGCCCAACAGTCTCCTGCTGCGCCTGATATGCTCGCGGTAGTGCTCCAAGTACATCTTCGCCACCGCCAACCGAAGCGGGAGGTGCAGAAAGATGGCCAGCCGCCAGACAGTGCGCTGCGGCTCGTAGTTTCCGATGGCCGCCGACACCGAGGGCAGGTAGTTGGCCACATCGCAATGGGTGTAGGTGCTCCGCACAAAGTCAAAGGCCAGCGACCAGGCCACACAGAAGAGGAATCCTCCCAGCGGCAGACTGAGCGCCACGACGGCCAGCCGGGCGAAGGGCAGCCGGAAGAGGACGCTCTTCGGATCGTTGAACCTCTCGTATGTGGGCAGCATTTGGGCGCCACGTGGATAGTGCGTGGGTGGGTGGGTTCTTGGGTCAGCGGGCCGTCTTCCACATTTTTCGGTACTCTCTCCTAATTAGCTAGCCTCGGCGGTATGCTTACGTTGTAAACATTGCGAAAAGTTGTAAACAAGGGATCGATACCGCAACTATCGGTGGGAGTGTGGGGGGAGGTTACTATTTGTATCGCTGTTATGGATAACTTTTCTTTGTTTCGCCTCTTGTCTTGCATAATAACTATAATGCTTATCAGAAACCATAAGCAAATGTATCTTCCCATTCTTTATCTTTTTAATTAATAAACATAATCTTAAAATGTAATTTTTGGCCAGAAAAAGGCTAATAATCAGCAGAAGCCTATCGAATATTTATCGATTTAAATAAGCCGGCTGCGTACCATCTCTAGTTGAAAAAAGAAAAACAACACGCGCAAAAAAGAGAATCACTTTCCCGCACCATCTAGCAGATCTCAAAAATGGACATCCTCCTGGCCAACGTAAATGGCCTGCAGTTCAAGGCGGAGCGGGACCTGATCGAGCAGGTGGGCGCCATCCCGCTGCCCTTCTATGGTATGGACAAGTCCATCGCGGCAGTCTGCAATTTCATCAGCTCCACCTCGAGGAACGGACAGGAGTGCGACAAGGGCAGCGCCTGTCCCTTCCGACACATCCGTGGCGACAGGACCATCGTGTGCAAGCACTGGCTGAGAGGCCTCTGCAAGAAGGGCGACCAGTGCGAGTTCCTGCACGAATACGACATGACCAAGATGCCGGAGTGCTACTTCTACTCCCGCTTCAACGCCTGCCACAACAAGGAGTGCCCCTTCCTGCACATTGATCCCCAGTCGAAGGTGAAGGACTGTCCGTGGTACAAGCGAGGATTCTGCCGCCACGGCCCGCACTGCCGCCACCAGCATCTGCGACGGGTGCTCTGCATGAACTACCTGGCAGGATTCTGCCCGGAGGGACCCTCCTGCAAGCACATGCACCCGCGCTTCGAGCTGCCGCCGCTGGCCGAGCTTAGCAAGGACCAGCTGCACAAGAAGTTGCCAACGTGTCACTACTGCGGTGAGCTTGGACACAAGGCCAACTCGTGCAAGCAGTACGTGGGCAGTCTGGAGCACCGCAACAACATTAACGCCATGGACCACTCTGGGCACTCCTCGCACTCGGACAACAACGACGAGGGCTCCTCCGGTCACCACAACCAGCACAACCAGCCGCCGCCTTTCGTCAAAGTACCGACTCCACTGGAGGAGATCACCTGCTACAAGTGTGGGCACAAGGGTCACTACGCCAACAAGTGTCCCAAGGGCCACCTGGCCTTCCTCTCCAACCAGCATAGTCATAAGTAGCACCCACCTAGCTAGCGTAAGAGTTGAGGATATCATTCATGTTTCCATTTTTTAATCCTTAAACTGTTAAGAAACTTTTTAGGAAAGAAGTCTCTTTAAGATACCGATGAATACCTAAGTAATCAGCGAAATAAATACTTTATATAAAAATGTTTGAAATTAAAAAGAGAGTTAAGATATTCCATTGGATAGAAGGCTGTGTAGTTAACAGTATTAATGTAGGTTCAAAATTAAAAGCGTACAAAATTCCAGTTTTAATTCAAACAGCCTTGCAGCTCTGCCGCCCAAGTGGGACCAGCTGATGAAACGACAGAAATCCAGAAAGGTGAGGAAACTCTGGTTGCACTGACTGCTGGGGAAAAGATTTTGATAACATCAATTCTCCACCTCTAATCAACAACTGCGCACTAGCTTTCCCTGGCAAAGAAAAACAAACAGCCATCATAGTCGAATTCGTTCGGAGCCTTTCGCAGTTAAATCCAAGCAAGAGCCATGACTATTCTGGGAAAACTACGTGGCGAGATTAAGGACCAGGAAAAGGTTCCCCTGCCGATGAACCTCAACGATGAGGCGCTCATGCATCATGGCTCCCTCATCGCAGTGAGTATTGCGTCCAAGATGTCTCCTCTTTTTCGTTTTTTTTTTTTTGCGCAATCAGTTGCCACTCGTGTCCTTGCCAGTCGCCACCCCATCCCTTGCCCTTCGGCCTCGAGAGCCACAAGTTTCGTGAACGGAGGGAGGCAGATGGAGGTCGCCCTCCTCTGCTTCGAAGAGAATCCGAATGCGATTCGGACTCCGATTCGGAATCGGAATCGGAATATCCAGCCTCAGCAGCTACGGCCTGCAGGCTATCGATTTTTCCGTGCTGGAATTCCCGCTGTCCTTGCACTCTTTTTCATTCTTCATCCGGCCCTGCCCTGCCGCTCCTTCGGCCCATGACGTGTGCCCATTCACTTTTCCTGAGGCTCCCCTTCCAAGGACTCGCTCCCCGAGGTCAGCGGAGGGTCCCTTCCTGTTGCTGTTTGTTGCATGTGACTCGTGGCTGGTGGCCCTGACAGCTGGATGGGCAGAAACTGGAGCTGAAACCCAATTCCAGTGGCTGGCTTACTTCGTTGTCTAGCGATTGCTCTTTGACCTCGATGAGTTCCCCCGCACTGTCCGCTCTCCCAACCCGAAGAAAGTCGTGCCTTATCAGCCTGCATTCTAAAGTCTCCCCTCCCATTTCGTTATCTACACAGACCACGAAGATAAATTCCCTACGTTTCCATATCACCGTTTCGAGCCAGATGTTTATTTGCTATATTTATGAAACAATTCTTGAAAAGTCTCTAAATTTATTGAATAAATTTTATAAAGCTTATAAACGAAAGCTAATTTTTATTGGATCTTAAAAGAAAACAAGAAAGCAAAGCTAACTTCGGACGGAGCCGAAGTTGATATACCCTTGCAGTTAAAACCGGATATATATCGCAAACATCGGATATAGTTGGCCGATCCTTATAATTACATCATAATAAAACCAATAAACTACAATAAAAAATCTAAAAAAAAAGTCCCAAACTTCTATCTTCAAAAGTACCAAAGTTGGTATTTCTACCAAAAACCATTTCCGATCGTTCAGTTCTATGGCAGCTATATGATATAGTCGGCCGATTCTAATGAAATTTGGCAGGTTCGATTAGCTGACCAAAAATGGAATATGTACTAAGTTTCAGCTTTCTATCTTTAAAAACACGAAAGTTGGGTCATTTCCGATCGTTCAGTTATATGGCAGCTATAAGATATAGTCGGCCGATCCTTATGAAATTCTTATGTAATGTTTTGCCAAAAATAGCTTTCATGTTAAATTTGAACTCTCTAACTCTAAAAACACCAAAGTTATACCATTTCCGATCAATCAGTTATATGACAGCTATAGGATATAGTCGGCCGATTTGGGCCGTTCCGACTTATATACTGCGTGCAAAGGAAAGAAGGGTGTGTGCAAAGTTTCAAGACGATAGCTTCAAAACTGAGAGACTAGTTCGCGTAGAAATGGACAGACAGACGGACAGACGGACATGCTCATATCATCTCAGGAGGTGATCCTGATCAAGAATATATATACTTTATAGGGTCGGAGATGTCTCCTTCACTGCGTTGCACACTTTTGGACAAAATTATAATACCCTCTGCAAGGGTATAATAAAGATTATAATGTTGAGGGTGTTGAGGCACCCATAACACTCTACAATGAATAGCTTAATGTGCCAATTATTTTGCTTAATCAGTAAATTGATTGTAAGTGTTGCTCATCAAACTTACAGTGTGTCTTCAATAAAACAAACTCACCAAATTTTTCAAAACCTTTTTTTCTTGAGTCTTATTGCTACTATTCAGTTCTATCTTATATCCTATATTCGATATCCTTCAAATAATAGGAAATTAAAGCGAGGCTCCACTATGGGTATCTGCTTTGTGGAGCTCTGAGTCATAACTCTAGTAACAGCTAGAATTGTTTCTTTGTGAGTTTAGCTTATCTCTAAAAAAGCATTCTACAAAACAAATATTAATTCTAAGAAAATTGCCCAATGACTTCTATTATTTTCATATTTAAACAGAATTCTAAGGGAGGGCACAATTGATTCGACCCCTCTGGGGAATTACTTCCTGGAATATTAAATGAAAACACAATGTAGACTGCTTCTATGTCAATATTCATCCGATCCCTACCCGGCTTACTTTTTATGACTTCTTATACTATATGTAGCTTGATTTGATTTTTATAGCTTTTATATCGTAAGGTGTGAAGTACTAGGGTGACAATAGGAGATATCGCTGTCCACATCCATCCGACCCTGAAGAGGAAAATCTTAAATGATTCGTAGATAGATTATCCAGAAATCTGCATCTCCCACAAATAATTTTCCTTTGGGTTTTTTGAACATTTTTTAATGAACCCGCATTAAACAATGGAGAGTAGAAGTGGGGCTAACAAAGGCCATAACTTGACCAATATACGTACATCCGACCCTTAAAATGAGTACCTTAAATGATTCAAAGATCGGTAGATCTCCACAAAACTGCATCAATATTTAGAAAAAAATGTTTCTTTAGTTTTTTTTGTCAATTTTTCTGGTAGACCCCTCTTGAAAAGTGGGGAAAAGCAAAGGACCTGAAATTATTCTGCCCTGCAAAGGCCATATTTTGGTTACTATCCATCCGATCCTTCAGCGAAATACCTTAACATTTTAGCAATTTTCTATCCACCTTTTAAATGATAATTAATCTCAAAACTCTTCTCTCTTGACAGCCGAAAGCCGCTTATAGCGACACCGAAGCCGATGCAGAGTCGATGGTCTTCAACCGACCGCAGCACCACTGCCTGAAGTCGTTCTTGCTGTTCCTGATCGCGTTGGTGGTGATGCTGATGGGCGTCCTCGGCGGATGGACCCTGTACCGCCTGTACGCTCCATCACACGCCAGCATGCGCTATCATGCCTTGTGCGAGATTCCCTACCCGGAGGACTCCATGGAGCTGCCCCGCGTCTATCCACGCAGCGAAGAACCCTTCGCCCTTACCTGGCGCTCCCTGCTGCCCCACTTCGAGGCCAATGATAACTTCCCCGACAACAGCCTTTTTGACGAGAACAGAGGCTTCTTCCGCGAGGATATCGAGGTGGACGGCGACAGCGACGACGACAGCTACGCCAAGGTGGACGTGCCCGATTTCAAGGACGGGCGCCGCGGCCGGTTCATGCACGACTTCAAGGAGAACCAGTCGGCCATCATCGACACCACCACTGGACGGTGCTTCATCATGCCCCTGGACCGGGAGACCACCTTGCCGCCCACCAGCTTCGTCGACCTGATGAAGAAGATGGGTACCGGCTACTACAACATCGACACGGAGCGCGTCCGGCGACAGATGCGTGTAGTCACGCCCCGCATCACCGATCTCTCGCTCATCTCGGAGCGCATCGCCAATGAGTGCTACGACATGAAGGTCTACCTCATGGAGAAGTTTGTCTCGGGAGGTGAGTGGTCGACGCGTAATCGCAGGGGATATATAACTAATGATGCCTCTTTTTTTTAGTCTCGAAGAGATCCGCCGATCCGCTACCAGACACCGGCAAGTATGCCGAGTTCATGGGCAAGGGCCTGATTGAGTACGACCTGGCCAACATCGCCGAGGTGGAGGCCTACGAGGCCAACGAGGCCAAGCAGCAGCTGCAGGCCTGAGCGGTCCCAGTCCAGAGGACGCTTTTTTAAGCTACAACGCCCCATATGAATACACAACCTAAACAAATTATTAATTAGAATCGATTTATACATATAACGAGAGAGAGAGATGCAAGCGAGGAGGAGGAGGAGGAAGTTATCTGCCCAGAAGTCTAGATCTGGTTAAGCCACTGGTTAGCAGGACACAGCCCTGTCGCGACCGGGCGACAGTTTATCATAGGCCCCGATAAAGTTTTGTGAATCATAGACCCTAGAACGAAAATGTACCTAGAACGCAATCAAAAGCGATCGATGAAATTGTGACAAATACGAGCAATGTATGAGCCTCAAGAGCGGATGGAAGACAGACGGACAGAGTGGATCGGATCGATCGGTACACAGATACATGCTAACACACCGCGGCATTCCAAGTACATATTTTATATATATGCTCTTTAACTAATCTAACTATTGATGTATAGACCGGATCCAGATCCAGATCGAAGTCACTATCCGAATCCGAAACCAAAACCGAAAACCAAATCAGCCAGAAAACCGAGGGGGAAACACAAACTATCAGCATGCGTCGGAAGGCAGAGAAACAGATTAATCTAAATGTTCTTTAAACTAATTAAATGTATTCAACGCGAATTTGTGATCTTTAAGAGTTGGCTTTTCTTTGCTTTTTATTCCCTAGATACTTTTATGTTTTACTTTATAGATACATTTTATGTTTAGTTAATAACTTCGTTTAACAACAATTAAATACATGTCTATTCACGTCTTAAAAGTATGGCTTGCAGAGGGCGATGGTGTGGTCCACTCCGAAGGCCACTTTTCTCACCTTCCCGTTGATGGCCGCCTTGAAGGGGAAGAACTGGTCCTTTTTGTGGCCCAGGCCCAGGTGGCCGAACCGGTTCTTGCCCCACATGAAGAGGTCTCCGTCCGAGTTGACCGCGCCCATGTGAAAGACCCCGCATCCGATGGAGACCACCGTCGTGGCGTTGCTAAAGTCATTCCTGCCGAACAGAGGCGGCAGCAGGTGCTGCGGCCTGGAGGTCTGCTCCACAAACGGCCCGAACCCGAGGATACCAAAGCCCCAGGTGTACACCAGGCCCTCGTCCGTCAGGGCCATGCAAAACGAACCTCCGGCGGCCACGTCCTTGATCCTGCCAATGCCCTTGGTCAGCTTCAGGGCGCGGGGAGTGTTGATTTGGGTCTCAGCGTGCTCGGAGTCGTCCAGCTGGCCGTACTCGGAGTTCCCCCACCCGAAGACGTCGCCTGCCTCGTTGAGCGCCAGCACGCAGTCGGAGGAGCAAGTCACTCGCACGATTTTCTCCTTGGCGATGTCCCCGCCGATGAGGGTTATCTGGCCAGCGGTGTGGTAGTTTCCCTGGCCAGTCTGTCCATCGGCGCCCCAGCCACAGGTATAAATGCGTCCGTTTTTTGTGAGAAACATGGTGTGGTCCTGCCCGCACTCCACGTGTGTGATCTCGTCCTCCTTGCCGCAGATATCCTCCTGGGGAATCCGGTGGATGAGCGCACTGCTCGTGTACCGTTCGTCCTCGATGATCGAGCGACCGCACTGGCCGTAAGAATTGTTGCCCAGCGTGAAGACAGTGCCATTTTTCGTGACTACCACCAGGTGAGCTCTTCCTGCGGACATGCTCTTCACCTGCATGTCCTCGTCCGTCTCCTCCTGTCTCCGCGGCAGCTTGATGGCTGTGGGGTAGATGATTACGTCCAGGTTGGCGGGGTCCTTGGCGTTCCCCTTCACCTGGAAACCCAGCTGGGAGTCTGTGTTTAGCCCGCTGCCGAAGAGCGTCTCTCCATCGTCCCGCTTCACGGCGTAGGCTGTAAATCCATAACCGGCGGTTACGTCCCTGATATCGTTGTTGTTTGAGAACTGCAGTCTCGTGGGGTGGTGGACCATTTCCGTATAGCGCTCCTTGGCCTTCTTCACGCTCGTCTGCAGGCCCAAGGCGCCTGTCTCCTGGAATCCCCACACATAGACCCGGTGCTCGTGGTTGTCCGTAACTTTCGGCGTGTACTCCTTGATTTTGGTCTGATCCTGGGCCAGTACACTCCGCTTGGCCTTGGCCGTGTACGACCTGATCCCAAAGCCGATCCTCGCCGACTTGAGCATATTAAAAGGTTGTTCTCCAGGTGCCTCTCCAGGTGCTTCAAAGTTGGGGCGAATTACAAAACCAAAACAAACCGAAACCAAACATACGGTCCCTCTACGTGCGCAACAGCAGCGCCCCCAGCGGAGACTAGATGAAGCGTTGCAGAAAACGGTCTATTCCGCAGATGGTATTGCCAACTATGGTGAAACAGGGCGTTGCCAGAATTTCAATAACCCACCAATGCTGATATTGCCAGAGTTTAGTAACCCCGATATTGCCAGAAACTCAATAAACCCTGGTGAAAGACGGAAGACGGCTCCGGCGAAATCGTCAAGGATTAACAACCGGAATCGTAAAAAGTATTAAAAAGCCCGCTGGCACCGCGAAGAGCCCGAGAAGAGTCGAGTGTCCCGAGCCCGTGTGTTTTTTTCCACTCCGGAGCAGCATAGGTACATGCAACCCGTGCACACACACGCACCTCCGAACGACACACACATACTAGGTGCGTTGTGCGGAGTATTTAATTATAATTTCGAGTGTGCAGCGTGTGTGTAAAGTGCAATAGCCTGGCGAAAGCAGGAGCCAGAGCCAGAGCCAGAGGCAGTGAAGTGCAGTGCGGGGCGAATCCTCCATTAGCGAAGGGCTGGGCCGCTGGCTATACAAGGACTCGGCATAAGGACTCCACATAGGCCCGGATAGGGACACCGATAAGGCGAAAGGAGTGCCAGGAGACTCGGGCAGGAATAGGAGTTGCCACCGCAGTCGCAGTCGCAGTCGTCTCCGGTAGGTACACACAAAATATTCGGCTGCTCCTTTCAGCTCCTGTTTGGCCTCTCTCTCTCTGTCTCTCTCTCTTACTCTTACTCTCTCTGTCGCGCCCTGTTTGCGCTCTCTCCTGCCCACCACCTGGTGGTGCAAAGGCCTCGGTGGGCGGGTGGGCGCCCCGTGTCCTGCAACCCTTAGCCGCCGTCACATTTTCGGGTAACCATGGTCGTGTTGACGGCTAACTGTGCCATCCTGGCACTCGGATTGTGAAATAATCCTGCCATCCGGCCCATCACCCCCCTCTTCCGATGGTGCAAAACGGCAGCCCCACCCCTCCGGCGCATCCTCTGGCACAAAGCCACCACCTCCTGGAGATTTTGCGCAGCAGCATCAGCTCTATGCAGCTCTCGCTCGACTCGGGGCACGGCCACAGACTCCCCCGGCAACAATAAAAACACACACGGGTTGGAGAATTAAAAACGAAAAACCCAATACAAGTCCCATTCCCCTTAATCGACTCGAAATGAAGTTCCTCGGCCGCAGAATGAGTGATCTTATGTAAACAGAGGCCGCCCTCGACACCAGATAAGCGCCTGCCCTCCACCCTGCCTCCAGCTCCCAGCAGATGCCCCACTTTCGATTCTCCGCCCCCTCCTCGCATGTGCCCCCTCGCTGGAGAGTCGTAACTCACTCGGATAGAACCGAAATGGCCCATTTTGGGGCCACCAATCTGCTGGCAGGGCTTCCTGGAGTAGCAGCAGATACGCCCTCGAACGGAACCGATCTCCGGTCACTCCCCCGCCTCTCAGAAAGTTTTCCCCCCTTTCTTGGGAGCTTTTCTTTGGTAAAAGACGACATCATTTCTAATTTCTCTGCCAGTTGGTTTCCCACAAAAGCCCTGAGGAGTGTGCCCTTTTCTCTCAGTGTCTTGGGGGCTGCCTTTGTCAATGTCTTGGCTGCTCGCTCGGCTTATGCAAGTCCCAAACACACAACCCAAACAATAACAAAACAATTTCCAAGCCAAAGAAAATCCCAATCCATCACTGCCGGTGGTGCAGTTCATTGGCAGGCAGCCAGCGAAGCGTGTACCACCTCCTCCCTCCTCTTTGGGGGCACCCACCTGGTAGCCAGCCCCTCCTTATCAGAGCTAGAGCTTGGGCTTTTGGTTCTTTCTGGGGTGCCATCTGTCACGGTTACAGTTTCGGTTTCAGTCTCAGTCTCAGCTTTCTCCGCTGGACAAGTCCAAGTCCATAAATTGTTTGGCCGAAAACGAAAACAAACACAGTGGTGGGCTGTGAATCACTCGATAAGGCCGGAACTCTTAACAGGGAATTTTCCCATATCTTTGACTAATCGGTGATATGTAGAACTTCCAGTTCTTATCGCTGGTAGTGCTGGAGGAACTCTCATAGTTGTACATCATCTTGGAGCTTAGGTAATAACCCATTAAGATTGAGGGTTTCAGGGCTTTCCAGACAAAAGTGAAACCAGAGGCGGCTTAGGCCCAAAGCCCCCTGCGGGAGGCTTCTTAGCTTGTCTAGCAGTTATTGATTTTTAATTATCGGCACTGGCCCTTGGCTCGGCCTGACATTGACTTTGATTTTGCTGGCCAACGAACTGGCCAAGAGTGGACTGGCAATCTTTGGCCAGATCAGCTGGTCGATAGAGTCTCAACGAGGGAACACTCACTTCCAATACCCGTTTGTGACTCATTGCCGTCGAATGTCTCAGTCTCAGTCTCGGTCTTTGGCAGAGTGCTGACTGACATTTTGGCCTGAAATGGAGGCCATTGTGCCTCGATGCTTGGACCTGGGTTTCCCTGAATCTCCTCAAAACAACACCCGTAAACAAATCGATAACCGAGACTGATACTCACTTACTCTTTGTGGCTCCTCCAATTGAATTCAATTGAGTGCCCAAGTCGAGGCAAGGTGGTGTGGGGTAACTTTCACTTGCAGAGATTTTAATTGCCGCCTAACTGGAATGGCCGGCTACCCTTTCCCATCCCATGATCCCCTCCCGCCAACCAGATACACTCACCTACCATGTCCCTGCTCATCGCCGTGACCCAAAAACCAAACCTAATCGCGCTAATTTTTGGTTGGTATTCCCGTTCGTATCCAAGTACTTGAGTGTATTTGTTAGCTAATCATTTTCACGCTTCTTGGCCGCTTTCTCGGGCACTCTCCCGGCCACTCTCCGCTTCCATGATCTGCCAAATCCGAGCCTAATTTGCATATCATTTTCCTTTCTTTCCTTTCCGCTTCTGTACTTTGTTTTTTGCGATTTTTCTTTCTGCTATCTTTTATCGTTTTACTTTTTGCCACGCCTACGCTCATGCTCACGCCCACGCCCACGCCCACATCCACGCCCATGACCACTGACCATGCCCCCCTTAGTAAGAATGCCTTGGCTGAAGGCTGCAGCCTCCTGCAGCATGCTTAGAGTGCCCACAACCACAGCCAGCAGCGCCACATAACCCATCACGATCACCACAACCACATCATCATCATCATCCAGATCCAAATCTCGAAACTCCAACTCCAAGAACACTGCCTCTTGCCTCCAGCAGCAGCAGCCCCAGCAGCAGCTGAACCAACTGGAGGAGCAGGAATCCCCCCCAGGCGGAGGAGCAGCCAGTCTGGAATGTTGGAACACCCCCAGCGGTTCGTGCGCAACATCCCCGACTCCTCAGCCAGCAGCAGCAGCAGCAGCTCGCAACAGTATCCGCATCCGCATCCGCCACAGCTGCCCCAGCACCAGAATCTGAATCTCAACCAGAATCAGATCTACCAGTACCGTCCCCAGGTGGCCGTGCCCGTTCCCGTACCCGGCTCCCCTGCCCACCATCAGCGGCACGCGTCGCTCTCCCAGCAGCAGCAGCAGCTACACCACCGCACCCTGTCCACCGCCTCCTCGTGCAGTGCCCAGCACAAAAGTGTGACCTTCGGCCAACCAGCGCTCGACTGCGGCAACGGCAGCGGAGGCGCCAACGGAAGCGGGTGCTACAGCAACACTGGAACCCAACCAATGGCGGGAAACATGAAGCACGGTGAGTCGATCCGGTCATAACTGATTCCCCTAAGGCTAATCCTCTCTGTGTCCTCCATCTCAGGCAAATCTCAGGAAGACGTCTGCTACGTGGTAGCCAAGTACGACTATGCGGCGCAAGGTGCCCAGGAGCTGGATCTGCGCAAGAACGAGCGCTACCTGCTGCTGGACGACTCCAAGCACTGGTGGCGCGTCCAGAACAGCCGCAACCAGTCCGGCTATGTGCCCAGCAACTACGTCAAGAAGGAGAAGCCCTCGCTCTTCGACAGGTGCGTCCGATTCCTGGCCTCGGTCCACGTCCCTGACTAAACCTAAGCGTTCTTCTTGCTCTGATTTCAGCAGAACTAAGCTCTCAGTATCTGTATCTGTATCTTGAAATTTAATCCGTAGACGTATCTATATCCGTACTAACCATCCTTCCCTCCTCCTCCTCCGGCGCCACCGCCTCCGCCATCCCCTACTAAGCTTTGGTTACCTGATTTTACTGCTTTCGGCTTTTGTATTTTGTATTTCGAGATAACAAATTCGTTTTGTTTTTGTTGTCAGTCGAGCCCCGCCCCGACTCCGACCCTGACCCTCCGGAGCACATTCGGAGAACACCCCCCCTAACCCCCACGACCGAACTAGAACTAGAACTATAGTCTCACTAACAACCAACTCCCCTCCACAACTACATAGCTCTGAAATCCTCAAGAAATCATATCTGACCCCGGTGTATCCCTCTGCTCTGCTCTCTGTATCCCGTGCAGCATCAAGAAGAAGGTGAAAAAGGGCTCCGGATCGAAGACGCTGCCCAACTGCTCGCCCTCGCGCCAGATCGAAAGCCCGACCATGTCGCGACGACTGCCCCCAGATCCAGCCGAAGCCATCGGCTCGGCGATCGTCAAGTACAACTACCAGGCACAGCAGCCGGACGAGCTCTCGCTGACCAAGGGCACCCGGATCCTCATCCTGGAGAAGTCCAACGATGGCTGGTGGCGCGGCCAGAGTGGCAACTCCGTCGGCTGGTTCCCCAGCAACTACACAACGGAAGATTGTGATAACGATGGAGAGATTCACACCTATGCCATGGCGGAGAACGTGCTCGACATTGTGGTGAGTCCCTGGACGCAGAAACCTCCAAACCAGACTAGGCAGTAACCGCTCTTTCCCGCCCGCAGGTTGCCCTCTACAGCTTCACGTCGAACAACGACCAGGAGCTCTCGTTCGAGAAGGGCGACCGCCTGGAGATCGTGGATCGGCCCGCCTCCGATCCGGACTGGTACAAAGCTCGCAACAACCAGGGCGCAGTCGGTTTAGTTCCACGCAACTATCTCCAAGAGCTCAACGACTACCTGGCCACGCCGTATCGCAACACGAGTGCCGCCGGCAACGGGAATGGCGGCAGCAATGGAGGCGCCGGTGGCGGTGGTGGTGGCGGCACCGACTCCATGGAGCGCCGCAACGATGGCAACAAGTCTGCGTCGCAGTCCTCCGGCCAGCCAATCGAGAGGCCCAACTTGGCGGGCAAGTCGTGGTATTACGGCGCCATAACCCGCAGCCAGTGCGACACGGTGCTCAACGGGCACGGCCACGACGGCGACTTCCTCATCAGAGACAGTGAGACTAACGTGAGTATCCCCTTTAGAGTCAATCCTGCCCAGATTTCAAGATTCTTCTCCTTGCAGATGGGCGATTACTCGGTTTCGTTAAAGGCCCCGGGTCGCAACAAGCACTTCCGCGTGCACGTGGAGCAGAACATGTACTGCATCGGACAGCGGAAGTTCCACTCGCTGGACCAGCTGGTCGACCACTACCAAAGAGCGCCCATCTACACGAACAAGCAGGGCGAGAAGCTTTATCTGGTGCGGTCCCTGCCGAAGGCCAATGGCACGTAAAGTGTGGCAAGCCGAGGAGTAGAATCTCAGCAGCAGCATCCAATCCATATTACCCGTATTCAGCAGCATCATGCAACACATATGCAACAGAAAGATATACCACAAGGCTAACTGTAGGCAGCTCAGCTCGGCGCGACGTGTAGTTTATTGTAGTTTGGTTCGATTACGATTCGTTTTGGATTCAGGTTCAGAAGATCAGAGCAGACCAGCGTGTGTATATAAGGCCACGGAGCATAACCCTTTTGTACTTTTATATACTTGAATTAACTAAATTACCGCATTGGCTGGCTATGTTAATGAGTCCAAGGATAACTAAACCAAGGATATAATCACATTCGATTCGAGCAATTCTAGGTGTCAAGATGCAATACATTATAGTACATATTACATTACCATACATGTGCACATATTATACTATACTCTAACGCAAGTTGTAGCAGACTAATGTACACAGAGAGGAGGAGATCGCTTTTAGCCACAATACTGGAACAGAGATATGATCCGATATGCATATTATGTCTATTATCATCCGTACGTAGTCCGTTGTAATCCGCAGACTTTGACTTTGTGTCTGTATATACAAAGCGCATCCTGGAAGCAGCAGGGATGAGGAGGATGAGGCCAAACTTAACCGAAACACACACAGCCAGAGTGAGGATCGCTCCTACAGTCATTTCGTTATTCGTAACTCCATTAATTACCTACGACTACGATATAACCATGCAGATGCATAAATATAAACATAATCTAATCGTTTAATCTGGCGTGCGCGGAGGAGGAGGAGGAGCGGGGAGGACGGCATACAAGCATGGGCCATACTGTACAGTGATGCGATGCTAACCCAGGCCCTACTCTTTCGTCTCCAGGGAAAGGACTTCGCGTACGATGAGTAGTGGGACCGCAGCGATTCCAGCTTTAAATTATATTTTAAATAATATATAGCTATTATTTTGTTTCCTATGTTTACAGTTCATTTTAAAAAGCTTACTTTTACGTTTATTGTTTTTGTTTTTAAATCGATATTTTTTAGGTTTTAGGAAAGTAATTAGCGAAGGACGAGAGAAAGAGAGTGGGTGGGTGGCTGCCAGTGAAATGACTTGACTTTCGACTTTTCTTTCATACGCGAATTTTTAAATTATAAATCTACATTAAATACGAGTACGTAATAAATAAACTTAAATAATTTATAGTAATTTAAACGATTGCTAAAAACCAACTAGTACTAAAGACGAAGAGAACAAACTAGAAATTATACCGAAACGGACATGAATAAAATACATTCAGAAAATTAAAAGCATCCTGCCTGTTTGTTTGACTTACTTGGTTCGGGGGAAGGAGGATCGATCCCAGCTCCTTAAAGGATAGGTCTTCACTGCCATCTAGCTTCCTAAAAGTATGCCACTAATGTTAGGTATACAAGCTAGTTATATCCAAAAGTACTACAACAATCACTGGGGAAGAACTATTATGGCAATAATAAGAAGACAAACAACTTCAGCTTATTTGTTTTTATTGAAATTCCATAGTTTTTAAATAAAGTTAAGGCTTCGATAATGTTTGACACGTTAAGGCTAAAAATGGAAAAACTCTTGCTTCTTATCTGGACATGTGAGCGGTGAGTCGAGTCATGGATTTGGGGGCGATGGATGGATGGGCTTACGATCGGACAGAATATGTACAGACATCCGACGATGTGGTGGTGGGTGGGCAACCAAGGTTGAGCAATCTGCACGTACATACGAGTGTTTAGCACATTGATTAGCAATGAAAACAAGAAGCAATTCATTAGGTACAAAAGCATATTGTATATATCTGTATCTGTGTATCTATATCCGTATATAGTAGTAGTACGTTATATCATATAGTTTATAATCTTATTAAGGCCACACAATCAATAACTGACAGAGTTCTTATCCGCAAAACAGGTGCTAATAGGGACAAACACGGAACGAGGACGAGGACAAGCACAAACAAAAATGTATGTATCATGGGAGTCCAGCTGGGTCAGCTGCATCCAGCTCGGGCCACTAGGTTAGTAGTTCGAGTTTTGGGAGTGTGTGTGGGCTTAGTACAAGAAGAGAGTTCTAGGGGAGCACGGCATATACATTTATCCGCATCCGTTAACATTAGAATAGAGTTACCATTATAAAAGAATATATCGACGCCACCCATCCGCGCACTACTACTGTTCGTCAAGAGCCGGCTGGAACGGCACGGAGCGGCACGGAGCTTGCGGCGTGTACATATTCGGGTTATGTACACGGAGTACAGTGCTCTCCGGCGTGTATTATGTATATAGATTAATGCTATTGTTCGTTAAATGGACTAATTTCGGTTCGGTTCCCTCGCAGCGCCTCCTCCGGGCGGGGAGGAGGAGAACGGTAGGCCTCCATCCGAATCCGCTTTTTGTTCGCTGGCTCAGCGCCTCAGCCACTCGGCGAGGGGCGAATTGTTCCGCGTCGGGTCTCATAAAAATGGATTGTTGGTGTTCATGGCGCCGCTGGCCTGGAAAGCAGGAGAAGGTGTTTTTATGTTTAAGGACTTTGTGTATTTTGGACAAACATGAATTAGGTGAAAGCTGGATCCGCACCCTCAACCATCATACTCACTGCAAAGGGATTGTTGGCCATCACCGGAGCCGGCTGCATGCTGCCGAAGCCACATCCATTGGGCAGGCCCTGCGACATGGCGAACCCGTTGTTGTTAAAATTAAAGAAACTCGTCTGGGACTGAGGCTGATGCTGCTGCTGCTGGAGAAGATGGCCCATCTGGAGGCCGTTCGGGGGCTGCTGGGGACTGCTGCCGTAGGCATTTGGTATGAGCGTCAACTGGCCGTAGAGATTCTGTTGCTGCTGCTGCTGCTGGAATGGATTCACCACGTGGCTGCTGAGCTGCTGCTGGCCCTTGAAGGGATTTGGATTGTTGTTGAGGATGGCGGCTGTGTAGAACAAAGGATCCAATTAGCGAGTACTTGGGGGAAGGAGGATTCTCGTCGTGAAGGACTTACCGCTGCCGAAAGCATCTTGGATTCCGTTGCCATTAGTGGGCGTGGGCGCCTCCGAGCTGGTCTCGCTGGCCTTTAGCTCCCGCAGCTGCTCGTCGAGGTCCTTGAGAGCGGCATATCGATCCTCGCTAGGTGCCATGCTGCCGTTCTTCGGCGGACTAGTCGCGTGGCCGTTCTGTAAAGGTGCACCTGGAAAATTCCCAACACATCCAACAGTTAGTACGTGGGCTTGGGAGTGTCCTGCAGGGATTAGGATTAACAAAAACCAAAAAAACACAGCAACTGGAATACGAAAACGAGCCAAACGCAACCAAAACAGAAACAGAAACTCAACTCAACTGAAGGCAACCGAAAAACTTACTCCAAGTAAAGGAATCATGGAAATTGGCATTTAGGACATTCGACTCTTCGTCCTCCGCCCGGGGAGCCTCTTCTGGCGCGTGGTTCGAGATCGAGCTGAACAACAGATACGAGTAGGAGGCGGAGGAGAGCGGCTGCTCCTGGACGTGTTGTGGCTGCTGCGGCTCTTGGTTGAGGAGGTAGGGCAGGAAGGGATTCGAGGGCGACAGGGGCAACGCGGGCGCTTCTCCAAAGCTGGAGGAGCTTGTGGGAGTGCTTTGGAAAAAGGAGTAGTTGGAATCTTGCTCTTCCGGCTCCACCTGCATCTCCTCCTGCCAGAAGTTCCACGCCAACTCTGGCTCCTCCCGCACGGTGGCCAGTGGCGAGGCTACTGAAGAAACTGGAAGCGAAACAGCACCTGGAGCTGGAGCTGAAGCTGGCACTGGAGGCGGACTTGAGACCTGAGGCGGCGGCGACTCGTCCCAATCGTCGAAGGGATCGTGGAAGCCGCGCCTGCTCCAATCGCTGACCCAATTGTGAATAGTTGGAGCTGGGATCAGCCGGAAAACAAAGAGATTAGAGATCTGCTCAAAGGAGGCCTCCACAGCGGAGGGTGCTCGAAGAGGCCAGGCACTAGAGAAGCTGCAGGATCTTGAGGAAGCCAAAGCCTAAGCCATTGCGTTCAAGCAGAAGGTGCGGGAGCAAGTGAAGCATATGCTCTGTGGTGTTGGGATTAGGTCTTGATGTGTTGATGAAAAAATCTCAAAAGAATGATGGAATAAAGTGTCCTGTGTGTCCTGTGTTTCTGAACTTAAAGGATAACCAGGGACTCCTCCAACCGGACTCACCTCCTGCATTGAAGATGGGAGCATGATCAAAGTCCGCAAAGTTCTCCGATCCCTGGTGTCCATTCCCATTAAGGAGCTGCTGCTGTTGCTGCTGCTGCTGCTGGAGATGGGCCGCCCGCAGAGGCTGCACCTTGGCATACCCGTTGCTGGAGCCCACGGACGACACCGAGGACACAGCCGGCGATCCCGCCGAGCGCGCCGAGGTGGCATCGAATATGGTGGCCGAGCCAAAGTCGGCCACGAAATCCGAATCCCCGCCGAAGCCGTTGCTGGCACAGCTGCTCGTGTCCGAGAGGGCGCCTGTGGACGTGGACCCGGCGCTGTTGAGACTGCTCAGGCCACCGGTCAGCCCGAAGGCGTCGTGGTTGTTGTTGCTGCTGCTGTGATTGTGGTGGTGGTGGTGGTGGGTCGGCCTGCTGATGGACGCCGAGCTGCCGGAGGAGGAGTTGGAGGAGTGGGACATCTTCTGCAGGCCGTTCGCCGTGGTGCGCTGGGACGCCGGGGGCGTCAGATGGATGCTGGCGTATCCGTTGTGGTGGCCGTTCTGTTGCACTTGAGGCGCCGACTTGAGGTTCACCGCATTGGCCAGCGACTTGAGGGGACTGGCCGGCTCCAGGTAGTACCGCTTCCGCTCGTACTTGTCGATCATCAGCTCGCGGTGCTCCTGCTGGTGGACGGCCCGCTTGGGATCCCACAGACCCAGCCAGGTCTTGGCGCACAGCTCGTTGCCGTGTGTCCGCAGGAAGTCGATCTCGTCCTGGGTGAATGTGGCCATGGAAATGGATTTCACACGATGTGGTGGCGTCAGGCCTCGTCTGTAAAAGAAAAGGATTGTTGTAATAGAAGTCTAATCTTGGGTCTTGGGGGTTCTTGAGGCTTCCCACAAAGTAATTTATTTCTATTATGGAAATTGCTCAAGATTTCCCCCAAATCTGTCCCCCATTCCTCCACGAGTCAGCCGAGTCAGGTGGTGGTTCTTTGACCCACTTGGGTCCGGAATGGCCCGTCAAATGGCCGTTCAATTTTGGTTAATTGCGCAAATGAATTGCGCTGGCCTTGGGGCCAGTAGTGGAAGCAATTGGAGCACTTGGAGTGGCCAGAATGGCACGGAAAATGAAACCCATAAAGTAAACCGAGGGCGGGTATTGGGTGCTGGGTGCTGGGAGGGAGAGCTAGTGCCAGTGGAGAGTTTTCCAGCAAATTCGCTTCGCAACGACGGCTAATTTCGGTTTTTCACGAATTTCCCGAACGAAACGAGCACACGAACATCAGAAAACCAGTAAAGAGCCCCATAGAGACCCCCCCCAACATGGCAACATGGCAACAGCAAATAGCAGTTGCAACAACAACAACAACAACAACAGGGCCAAATATGCATGGCCAGAAGAAGAAGCAGAGCCAGAAACTGGACGTTTCACATGAACGCTCCGCTGGCTTCAGTTGGCTGGTAGCTGGTAGCTAGTAGCTGTTGTCGGTTAACTACAAGCCGGTCCGAAACGGGCCAGAACCGTCTGGTCATTACATGGATGTAACAAATAGGGAGCACTCTGAGCCAGAAATCTTAAGCAAGGTTGACTAGCTTGGGAGTGGCATGTAGAGAGCTCTTATGGCCATTGCTGGGTAATGGCATCCGAGTCCTTTGTCATCCCAGTTCCTCCGCTAATGCAATTCTGGCTCGACTTAATGCTGGAAAATTGATTCTAAAGACAAAGGAAAGCGGAGAAAAAAAGCGAAAGATGCGCCACTGAAGAGAAGAAGGAAAAACAATCAACTCTCACTTAAGTGAAGTGGAGTGGATAGACTCCTCCTCCTACTCCTCCTCCACCACCGCCTTCGCACCACCACCTTCCAAACTGTGACCACCAGAGCGGAGCAGGGTTAAAGTAAAGCAGCTGACTGAGGACTACTTCCGCCGGCGACTAAATGATCTGTGAAGCCAGAGGAAAGAGGAAGTCCGGCACCTGAGCAACAGGCAGTGGTGCACAGTGGAAAATGAGCCTCATGCCTCTGACTGTGATTGGAAATGGTAACCTTATTAGGTTGTTACCTCACCTTCCATGACCCCGATATCTCACCAAGTGGCCTTCCGACTCTACTCCGAGCTCTAATCCTATTATTTTTCAGTGAGCATTGCTAACACCACTCAAGTGGCAACCAAAGTGGCCACATCCACAGCGAGCACGCACGGACTGAGATTAAGACACCCATTGGCGGGGAGGGGAGGGGAGGGGTGTGGCATTGCAACTGCAGTGGCAGCTGCGAGTGGAGAAACAAAAATAAAAATAAAACCAAGACAGAATGCGCCATGTGGCAGCCAGTGGCAGCGTGGCGGCTATTTTTGAAATCCAGCGCCACTGCGGAGAAAGTGAAAGTTGGCCGCCGCCGCAGCAGTGGCACTAGTAGTGGCTAGTGGCATTAGAGGCACTTACTCACCAGCCCCGCCCATCGTTTACGGCAGCAGTGCAAATGACTGCAAATTTCCACCAGCTGAGGCCTTTGTTGGGGCGATGTGGGAAGTGGCAGGTGCAGAGACAGCCCCCATTTAACGAGGTTCTTGGAAAGAGACCCCTAATGAATATTCCATGTGTTTCTTTAACATGGATCATCTATTTGGCTGGAAAACAGTTGGCATCTTAGCATTTCAGTGATAATTGTAGATACAAAGATACATTCATTCTCAGATACACTCATCGATGGAAGTCTCAGAGACAATGGGAATGGGAGAATGCATTGCAATGCTAATTGGGAGTCGACACAGCGGCTCTGAAACCTGAAACTGTGTCACACCTGGGAGGTCATTAGGGGGAGATCTACAGAGCACCTTGCTTAAACCCTAAAGATTAAAAACTGCCTTTTAAAATGTACATATTTGTAATAATTTGTTGGGTGGGTGAGCCATTCGAAGCGAAGTTGGAGGTGACCTTAGCCATAAAGTAGAGTCCAAAAGGTTACATTCATTATTTGTTTAAAAAGTAAGAACAGTAAACGATTTTATGAGCAGAGGGTTAAGTGGTGCTGGTGGTGACACATCCCCCTGGGTCCACCCCCTATCCTCCACTTCTGGGAATTTCCACACAGCCTCCGCCTAAGCCACCGGATGGATGGATCCGACGCCATCGGAGATCCCCAGATCTGAGATCTCTGTTTCGGTTTCGGTTTCGGATTCGGTTTCGCTTCGTGCTTGGCACAAGTGGATACAACGAAAAATTAAAGCAAACAGATACAGATACATCCAGAGACTGTAGACTGTAATGCAGATAAACAAAAAGCTTAGCTTACAATCACAGCCAAACAGCCACACATACTGGCGATTTCCTTGCTCAAAAGTGCAAAACTTGTTTTTTGCGCATTTTGCGCACTCAGCGTGAAAAAAACGACTCCCCTCCAGCCTCAGTCTCGGTCTCTAACAAAAGCAAAAGTAAAACTCGTTAGAAACAAAACCTAAAGTACAAAATTAGAGGCAAAATCAAACAAAGTCGCACTGGGAGTCGAACCTACCGCATGACGTTTCGATGGGAGACCCAAGCTCCGGCTAAGGTCTCTGGCTCTGACAACTTCGACAGCTCCATGAAGTGTTGGAGGAAAAAAAACAAGTAGCGAAAGATGACGAAAATAGCAACAGATACAGATACAAAACACGACAAACTGCAAACTAAAATACGACAGTAGATAAATAACACCTTATGGCACATATGAGCATTTGAACTTTTGGTTTCTGGTTTGGATAGGTAGCTTTGGTGGCTATGGATGAATAGATCAATGCTCTGAAGCTGCTTTAAAGAGATGTCTAGGAATGTACATATTTTGTTTAAAAATATAGAAATATATTCATATACATTTAGTACTCTGTTTATAGAATTATCAATAATATTTCCTTGCTCGTTGGTGGGTGAATTATGAAGTGTAAACACACTCACGATTGAGATCTGTTGTTTTTCAAATAGTACGTATTTTAGTCATACCTCTAGTATACCCTTTCCGAGAGGTATTTGCATATTTAAATGCAAAATACAAAATACAAATACACGAAAGAGAAACACAATTTGAAACTGAAAAAAAACAACGACAACGTCCACGCAATTCCTGAATTTTTCCCCTCATGAGTCACGGGTTCCAAGTAAGAGCCACTATGGGCGTTATGGGGGTTCGCAGTTCCACAATATCGTATATATATCTGGAGAAGGGGGTCATCCACTCACTCTAAAGTCGAGAAAAGCAATTAGTCAATTTCGGAAGAACCCCAGACTTCAGAGGGGTTGGGGACCGCCAAGACCTTGCCAGAGAAAGAGCTCGATGCTGAGGCCATTGGAACAGCCACTACTGTTATTCCATCTGTCCAGTTAGGGCCACTCCTAGTGCTAATTTCATTTCAGTGCCCCACTCTCTCAACACACCACTTTCTAAGGTCACTATCTGGACCAGTTTTGAGGCTTGGAGACCGCTTACGAAATCCTCTGAAATGGCTCGCTTTTTTCGACAATCAATAATATCAATATCACAGTCAGTTCGAGTTGAAATCAATTGTCTGGAACGGAATTCGTAAATAAAAACAATTGAATATTTAAGAAGATTTAAGTGGAGTACCAGTACAATTTATAAAAATTGGACAATATTTAATTGTTTTTTGATTTTTATTTTTCAACAGACTTGTAGAGAATGGATCTAGGAACCTTTAAAGGTATTCCGTGCATGGTTCGGATGGATATTGACCGAGATATGGCCTTTTCTATGGCCACTGCTACTTCCTATTTTTTAAAGGAGGTTCACCAAAAAAATTGATAAAAAATCCAAGAAAAAATTGGGATTTGGGATTCTTATGCCATTTTAGGAAGGATCTTTCTACGAATTATTAAGGTATTCTGCATAAGGATCGGCTGGATACCGACCGAGATATGACCTTTGCGGGGCATCATATTGTTACTCCCACTGCGTGTACCCTTTTTGCAAAGGGGGGCCACCACAAAAATTTAGAAAAAATCTAAATAAAAATTGTTTTTAAGTAAAATATCTCATAGAGAATCGTTCTATGAATCATTTAAGCAGTTTTGGTTAAGTATCGGATGGATATCGACCAAGATTTGATGCCACACCACTTTTATTTATATTCCAAGAAAGGTCCACCAGAAAAATTTTAAAAAAATCTGAAGCAATATTTGTTTTAGGGTTTGGATGCAGTTATTTGGAGAATCGATCTATGAATCATTTAATCAGTTTCGATTAAAAATCGGATGGATATCGACCGAGATATGGAGCGTCATAATGTCACTCCCACTGTTTCTACCCATTTTCAAAGATGGTAGACCAGAAAAAGGGACTAAAATCCAAAACAAGTTTTTTCTGGAATTGTAATGCAGGAGCATTGAGGAGCATCCATATACAAATATTTTGAGCTATTCCACACAAGAATCAGATGAATATCGACCGAGATTTGGGCTTCGCGAGGCGTCATATTGTAAGAGCCCACTATTTCGCCCCATTTTTTAAAGAGGGTGCTCCAAAATATTTACCAAAAAAAATTCGAAAAACAAAATGTGAGTAATTTTTAAGCAGTTTTGTGGAGCAAAGATCTACGAGTTATTTAAGGTACTCCATCCAAGGATCGGATGAACTTTGATCAAGTTATGGTCTCCATTTCAAACAACTTCAGATTCTCCAGAAGATCCAGATCCTTAGAAAACAATACAAGGTAAACCTTTCGTTTAAAATTAGTTTAAAATTTCACTAAATTCACTATCACTATCTATGAAGCTTTTAACCTCAACTAGATCTTCTGGCAAATAATTTTTAACACAAAACACCATAATTTCTTCAAAGA